TTAATAAAAATAAATTTAATCTGTTCGGTTAACGAATTTCCATAAAATGACGTGTAAAATTACAATTTTTAAAATTTCAATAACTTCTTAACGGTTTAGTGAATCGATTTGTAATTTTTACAGGAGTTTTAGAATTGAATGAGGAACGTTCTTCTAAATTTTTATTTGTCTCGTAACATTGTAACATACCTCCCAAACATCCTTAAGCGCTCATTGAGATATTTAATCTACACGTCGAGTACTAACAGAACTCAGAGTTTCAATGATTATAATCCTTTATGTCGGAAAAAAAAACTTTATCATTAAGGCTTCTAATGAACATTGCACATATATAACTAGAATTGTACTGCATAATAGTAGGTTTAAATAGGTATTTATTCATTGTTAAGATTTAAAGCCCATAAAAAATAATTGTGGATAACCTACATATTTACATACCTACATACGAAGCTATTGTCAGTGTACACTAATGTTCACTAAAAATGGACCACTTTTCTTTCTGTTACGCAATTTAAAATTATTTGGAAAGAAAAGATCATGCCATCAATATTACATATAGAAATCGGAAGACTTAATCAGCAGGACAATTCAAGAAATTTAAGGAGTGAAAAATGTCTTGTTTAATATATAATATAATCACATCGACGTTTCGCATTATGGTGTTAAAAATTCTTCAAGGTAGACACCATAAAGATTAACATCGGTGTGATTATAAAAAATTTTCACCCTGTACATTGCTTGAATTGCCCTAGTGATAAATATTAGGGGGAGAAATACGAAGGTGTATCGTTTTAGAGCTAAAAACAGATGGAACTTATTGTTTTCAGTCTGCCGTATGAAATTTTTATAATTAGTAGATTAAGTTAATCAGTATTTTATAATGTAGAGAAGCCTATGTTTTCGTAAAGGAATATAATTCATGAATTTTATACAATTACTGCAAAATACCAAGGTAAACCTAAAACTTCTTAAACCACCGAATCCTCCTCCAGTCCTTCGAATTTCCTTTGTGGTGTAATTGTCCTTTCATTTAAAGTAGTTTATTATTTTAGAAAATATTTTACATATTTCCTGAGCTAACCTGACGCTTTATAAATTTCCTAGAGATCGTACAGAATTCCTCAATTATTGATATACAGTTTCGATAGCATTGAACTCATAAACGAATCAGAATTTACGTGGTATCAAAATCTACAAAGGGGAGCTCACTCCCTTTGCTATTGTAAATCCTTATGGGCTTTAAATATAACAATTAAACAAAATTAGATGACTGGAAAGCTTTGGCGGTATTGTGAGATACTTAAAAGCTCAAAACCCCTACACCAAAGCACGACACTGAACATTCGAAGTACTTTTCAGTAGCAAAGTTACTTTCTTCAGGGACTGAAGAGAACTCTATATGTTGGATATTCAGTGTCGTATTTGAGCTTTTTACTCTTCTAAATAGGACTGTCTACACATTCTTCTTAAATTTTCGATTTCAGAAATTAATTTTATTTATATATTACATTTTCTACTACTTACAATATATGTATTTACAATGTTCCTTAAATATTATAATAATTGTATTTTATTGACGTATTTCGGTTTCTATATTGATGTATCATTTAAGTGATATATTAAGGAATGAAATAAACAATGAATAAAATTTACTGTTACCCAGGGGTAAAATATAACGGTCCAAATCCAGATCGATATCATCTAGTACTTAGTCTTGAAGTGTTCGACTTAAAGGAAATTCGAGTTAGATATTTAGAGAGGAAATAATTCATTTTAAAGTTTAAAATAAATGACTAGACTGACTCCCGAGTAGTGTCTTCTGAACTGTTACTCTTCTAAATTGTTATCTAATATTCCTAACGTCAAGTCGACTTAAATTAGGGGATGCAACTTTGAACTACAGAGAGATCGACATAAAGCTGTTACCATTGGAATAATCAGACTTAGAGGGTGACTTCTAACTTGTAGAAATCATGCTCTGGTGCATCTATGTATGTAAGGTCCAACTCTGTGTCCATTTTCAGTTAACGAAACTGTACCTACATCCCTCCACGTATAAATACGCAAAGGTATTTACGAAGATATGTATTTAACGCGGTAACGTGCGTCCTACGCTCAGGATGATTATCTTTATGCGTTAGAATAAAATCAAATAAGCGTAAGTAGCGTAAAATGGTCTCGGTATGTGCCCTTTCTGGCATGCAAAGCACCAGGAACGTCTGCGTCGACTTTTGCGCGTTTCTCTTCGGCAATCAGACATAAATCTTTTAGGCTAAGCCATTAGGCAGTTTGTTGACTTTGCATAACATATACGCGTTCCATCTAATGATTAACTGCATTCATTTTCCTCTTTAATTTGACGTTTAACGTGAACCTCTTTGATCTAATTCCGTCTCATATCCGCCAGGTACCCGAACAGAATACAGGCGACAGTCGACAAAGGGTCCGCAGGTTCACCTTCGATCATTGCTTTTCACCGGACTCAAATCAAGAAGAGGTAGGTAACTGAATTTCGACATTTGTTCCCAAAATATACACCGCACTCGCATTCACATTGCCCGAAGTTTTTGAAACTTCCTGGGTAATTAAATTACAGACTTGGAAACTGAAGCTTTTATAGAAATTAAAATAGATGAAAATTGTTTCCTGAAGTTTCAATATATATAACAGTAGATACTTTCAGAATTCATTTGATAAATTCGTTCCCAAAAAATTATGAAATAATTATGAATTTAGTTACCGAATCTTTACCTATTAACCTTGAACTATATATTTGCTCGTGATGGTAAATGGATGATAATACGTTAAGTTTCATCATCGCCATCATCATGAAAACATAAAAACTGGTTAAACACGCAACTTTACTCTTTCCTAGCATGAGAACATCCCTCGTCCTTACTTATTTGAGAACAAAAAGCTAATTCATATATTCCCATCGAATTCCCAGTGGATGCTAGAGCCCTCCACGAGGACGGTAGCTGTTTTAGAGGAAAATGAGGAGTTTTGGGCCAGCCAAGAAGTTAATTAAGAGAGCGTCAGTTTTCTAATATAGAATAAGAAGATAATAAGAAAATGAAGTTCATGTTTTACAATAAAATTTTCTTGTACGTACGCAGGTATTCAATGTGATTGGGAAAGAAATAGAAGAAGCTTTAAGGAGAAGGCACCATTCTTGCGTTCTAGCATACGGACAAAGTTCCACTGGCAAGACTCATACCATGATGGGAACCTCTTCGGATCCAGGGCTGACCCCGCGAATTTGTAATAACATATTTTCCTATTTACAAAAGACTGCTATGGACGACGACCAAGTAGATAATAATGCATCTGTTAGGTAAGTTTCTAAGTTTTGCCTATCGCCTAAGAAAACCTAACCTAACCCTAACGTAACGTTTTCTGCTTACTGTCCCCAAAAGACGATTAAGTAAAACGTTTGAAAACTTCAAGAATCAGTATGTGACTTACGCCATCATTTCCCTAATTCGTAAAATTAGCTATTTCCAAAATTTAGGCGTCACATTTAGCTTAGGTTAGGCTTCATTTCTATTATTTCATTAACTTTATATTTATTTGAATTGATCCTACAACACTGATCTCTCAAGAAAAGGCATATTATGTTACATGGCAGACTTTTTAACTGCTTTCTCGCAGCCCATTTCTGGTACACCTTGCCTTTAGCCCAGCAGTAATTTTCCAGCATCACAAAACCTTTTACATTGAAGCACTTAAGTAGATTACTTCCCTCTTTTCTAATTTTTTCCTCATATTTTATCGCCCTTTTCCTTGCCTTATTTGCCATCTTTTCTTTGCCTCTTTCTGATTTTAGTAGGTCCCGTAGGATCCATTTTATGTATTTGTTTTCTACTCCTTCGATTACTTTGTGCTCTGGCTGTCCCCACATTTCAGCTCTACACATACATCAGTATACTTTCTACCAATACTTCAAACAAATACATTTTCTGTTCCCAACTTTCCTTGAAATTCCTTTCAGATATGCTCCATACTTTCTGTAAGACTGTAGTTGCCTTTTTTTTTAAGTTTCTTATTTGTTCTTCATTTACATTGTTTTTCTATATGTAGTGGTCCAGGTGGTTTAACATTTTTATTTCTTCAATTTCATTTCCTTCCCTTGTAAATATTATCTTTTTTGTCCTTCCACCACCTTTTCTGCCTCTCATTATCTTCGATTTATCCGTATTCATCCCTAGATTTCTTTCTGTGATGTATCTTCCCATTCTTCTCATCATTTCTGTCATCCCCTCTTCATTGTTCGTCATTAATATTATATCATCCGCGTAAGATACTGTCCATATTTTCTTTTTTTCAGAGACTATTCCTCCCATTTGAATTTTCCTCATTGTATTTTCTAGATCCACAAAAGCTAGGTTTAAAAGAGCTGTACTAAAGGGACATCCTTTTCATACACCGGTAATCGTGCTAACTTTTTCAGAAATTTCTTCATTGTTTCTCACTTGAAATGACGGTGCTTCATATATTTTTTATATTCTTTTCCTTAACTTCATATTTAATCCTTTTTCTTCTATTATACTCCATATTTTCTTTCTGTTTATTCTGTCAAAGATTCTCTTTATACCAGTAAAGAATTGGAAGTTTTCTCCTTTTTCTTTCATTATTTCTTCCCCAATGGTACTCTTTACTATGTATATCGCATCCAGTGTCCCTCTCCCTTTTGTATAACCTATTTGTGTATTATCCACGAGATTCTTCTCTTCCATTTCTGTCTTATGTGATTAACGTCGACTATTCGAACTGTTATTTACCCCTATTTTGAAATTATGGCTTTTATTCTATAGGTATAAGTGCTTACTCCAAAACTGTATTTTTAGTTTAGGACACTTTTATCTAAACTTAGCTAATCTCTATGATCAAGGTCATAAAAAGGATCCTTGAATCAGTAATTCTAAACTCCATAAGCATTTATTTAATAATAATATTTTACTATATCCTTGGAAAATGTTACATTTTTCTCAACTGACTATTTTCCTTTTACATATGACAGTTAATATCAGTAGAGCGAAAAACTTTTCGTCACAAAACAACACATTCCTAACGTTCCTAACTTCCTATGTGGAAGTAAACAGTTGACCTGGAGAATTCAGCTGGGATTTTTCAGTTTCTGGTTTTAGTAACAAAACCTTGTCAACGAATTTTTAGAAAAAACAGTATTTAAAATTAGGCAAGTATTCAACGCTAGGAAACTTTTGAGGGGGAGGGGCGGAATTTGTGACGTATTATTTAGTAGGGGATGGACGGTGACAAAACTTTGTCTAAACTCTCATAGGAAGCATTCACTTACCTACCTATAGCTGTTTCACCTATTTTTTTTGTGATTGTTCAAAATTTAAGATTCATTTTATTTCTAGCAGTTATTTGATTTACTCTGTAACTTTTAATAAATTTTTAAGTAGAATATTTAGATAAAATCTGGATTGCTCCACAAATCATTCCAGTAGCGATTTAAATGGATAATCGATAATTTCATGTTAAGATCATCGCAAATAACGACTGATGTTCACTACAGAAATTAACGTTTTTGTCCTTGCGTGCGCTAGTAAACATTTTAGCCCTCAACCTAATTTGAAAACAAAATATTCGATTTTAAATATTAAACAAAAACTGTAAAAGAGATTAGCTTTTACCCGCAGATGTGCTAAATATGTGCCCAAGATGCTTTTAGCCGCAGTTTCGCTCGTATTGATGTGCTAAATATGTGCCCAAGATGCTTTTAGCCGCAGTTTCGCTCGTATTGATGTGCTAAATATGTGCCCAAGATCATCAGCATTTTTTCTGGATAAACGGTACCCTATGATCCTTTTCTGTACCCCTGGTAATGTGTGTAGAAAATATAATGATCGATTGAATAGTTAAGACGTGAAATTGTAATAAATAAACAAACAAACTCACATTCGCATTTATAATATTAGTTAGGATTAATAAATGCAATATTAAAATTGTCGGCTAACAATATGTACTGGTATGCAAGGGAAGAAAAAGTAGCGAATATAAAGATAGGAGATGAAAAATTAGAAGAAGTGGCTGATTTTAGGTATCTAGGAACTCAGATAAGACAGGGCGAAAAGAGTAGTAGGGTTATAAAGCAGAGAAGAGAGCGGAGTCGAGTAGTCTTCAATAAAAGGAAGTAAATTATATGCTCGCGAACGATTAATTTGAAAATTCGAAAAAGATTGGTAAGCCGTATGTGTGGAGTGCGGCGCTGTACGGATGCGAAACTGGACGGTGGGCGAGGCGGAAAAGAAAAATTAGACGCGTTCGAAATGTGGCGTTACAGGCGAATGATCAGGATATCGTGGATAGAGAAGGTTAGAAAAGAAGAGGTATTAGAAAGAATAGGAGAACAGAGGACTCTATGGAAGACAATAAAAAATAGGCAAGATAGGTTGGTAGGACACCTTCTCAGGCATGAAGGTCTACTCAAAGACGTATTAGAGTCAGAAACAGGAGTTAGGAAAAGTGGAGGTAGACCTAGATTATATTATTGTTCACAAATAGGATGTTAAAATATCAATTTATTTATTGAAATATTTATCATCAATTGAAGAAGAACGCCTTTTCCTCTAGTAGCTTTTTAACAAATCAGTTTTACTATTTTTTTTTTTTTCAGAGAGCTTACTCTCAATTCAACATCTATAATTAACATCAGTGAGAAGACTATTGATATAACAAATTTGAAGGTAAAATACTGTTGAGTGAGTAATGCTGTTTGTAATTACTAATCTATAGTAAAAGCTAAAATACAGGAAGTACTAACGAGCTTTTGATGTACTAAAAAAATTATATGATGTACTGGAAAATATTATTTGGCCATGTCGTTATTAAACATTAGCAATGTAACAAAATAGACGCTAAATATAAAAAATTAGATGATAAAAAAAATAATCATCATTTTTTAAAACCGTCAAAAATGAGACACTCTTAAAACTGCAAAATTTTCTCTTTCTCGATAATGAGTAGATATTTATTTTGTTCGTTGACAATTTTTAACAGCTTCACCAAATTATTGCACATGTTTATTATACAATTGATTACTTACTGTTTTTTGTGTAAAACTAATTCCCTTAACAGTGTGCAACTCCCGAATCTCCTTATTAAAGGGACGCAATATCGCAATGTGAAACATCCGGGATAATTTTCCTAGTCCGAGCGTGAGATATATGTTAATAAATAATTGAAGATATTACACAATAAAACAATATTAATTCACAGATCATAACTGATAACTGTAATATGGTAATAAATAATTGAAACTATTGTCCAATCGTATTACAATAATAATTCAAAATATGTATTAATCATTAACAATATACTAATAACTATACCAATAACAGAAGAGGTTAACCGATAATACGTAACTGAAATTATTAAGAAGCAATAAATGTTGGTTATTCGAGCATGACACGGTAAAACCTGACGCCTGCTCAGAAAGCTGATTCAACGATAGTTAAAGGATAATTGTAGGTCAAACTACAAGCATTAGCGTACAATAACAACAGCTACCTTGAAAACTCCATAAAAAACCTGTACAACAATTATGAGACTTGAAATTAGTTCAGATAAGGTCCGGTCACGATCAGGATTGCCTGAAAACTGATCAGGGATGAATCAGGATCTGGATATGATTAAAAATCGTCACGTCATATATGATCCGCACAGGATCCGTTCCAAAAATCCATGCTGGATCAGTTTCATTATATTATAATTACCTTTAAAAAAAGTTATCAAAAGAATTGTATAGAATAAGAAAATTTGTTGCGGAAAAAAATTTAAGTTAAATAAATGTATCATTATGACGTTGATAATATAATCAAAATAATAATTTA